GAGTTATCTAATTTGCAATTCAGCCAATTGGAAATAAAGATCTGGTGGAGACCACCTTGATTTCATCTTCTTTTCACTTAGATATTGAGACCAGAGAACAATGAAAATGTTCTTAAGGAACTCCAATTTCTAGGAGGATATGATGAAGGTGATGTGATCCAAAGGTGTTATTCGTGGAATGATTCGAAGCAACTATCATTCATCCTTAATAAAGCAACCCTTTCGAATCAAAGGGCTAATTTCTGGGAATAATAGAAACGCTATAAGAAAAGTGGAATATTGTGTGCATCAACCAAAATATATTTAAAATGGGAATATAAAATAATATTGTGTGCTCTTAGCTTGTTTTGAATTTATTAACCCTATAATCTCTCTATCGTTGAAACTTTTGTACAGAAAAAAAATTATCATTTTGTTATTGCTGGATTAAGTCAACACACTATAATTTTTTTGAAGCGATCAGAATTCAAGTCTTGCAATTCATTATCACTTGGCCATAAGCAATGATATCGTGAACCTTATTCTACAAGCATCGTAATCATCTACAGTTTTTGGTGGCCTCTGTCCCAGCCGCCCGTTTGTCACTGAACCACTACCCAAAATAGATTAGGGTAAGTCTCTAGGCCCAACAAATCCGACCAGAAAGCAGAGCGTTTGTGCACCCTCTTCTTTCTCTAAAATTCTATAACTACTACATGACAGAAGAAAATGGAGTGTGGTTTACTGTAATAATTATTTCTATTTTATCCTTTATCATTATCTTTTTTAATATCTTTGTGTCTCGCGTTCGACTAGCAGAAGTAGAGATCAGAGCTCCGCATGGGGTTTCACTGGCGCTGTTCTGCTTCGCTGTTCATAGTTTTGGGCCTTTTGGCATAGCTACATAACTACAAAGGCTGCATGGAGGAATTGACTTTCAGAAGACCATAATTTAATTGGGTATCAACAAGATCTCAACACACGAGTGTAAATTAAAAGTTAGTCCTTGTAGTTTTTCAAAATAAATTACATAGTTCTTCTAGTTTAAAAAATTAATTAATTAGTCTATTGACTAGTGGTGACCTTGTTTAATTTAATAATATTTATTTTAAAAAATATTTTTTTCTCATCAATGTTATTATATTAAGTTCTTCTTTCCCCCTCCTTTTCTACTTCTTAAAAAAAATTAATTAATTAAAAAAATATGAAATGGACGAAAATGATTAAGTTATAAATAAATTTAAAAACACTTTACTAATTAATCAGTTTTGCAAAACTAAAAGAACTAATTTATAATTTACCCGAATATATGATGATTTTATTTTGCCGGGTATAGGAGGGATTATGTAAGAGTATATTTGTTCCAAAAAAAAAAAAAAGTCATATAGAATATATAATCCTTTTTAGCAACAAATGGTAGTTTAAACTATTACATTAAGTAATCATTTTATAATTTTCCTTATGTTTTCTAATTTTTTGGGTCCCTCGACGTCGATGATGAAGTTGATAAAATTCCTTGTTTTCTTTCTCTTCTGTCGATATTTGATTTCCAGTGACCAACATGGACTTTTTTTTGTGTTTGATAAATTTCAATTTTCTTTTATAAGGTTTATATGTTGTTTCAATTTCACTTAAAATCTTTAATTTGTATCAATTTGCCTTTGTATCTTTTATTATTGTTTCAATAAATCCGCATATTTTTTTATTTTTTTCTAACTCTTTCCTCCATGCATTTTGATCGTGCAAAGTAACAAAAAAACATGTGTAAATTTCAATTTAGTTCCTAAAGTTTATGAAATATCTCAATGTCATTAATTCAAAACATAAATTAAAAAATAAATGAAATGAAATCAACAAAAATAAACATAAAATCAATTGGAAAACATATTTTCATTGTAAAACGAAAATGATAAAACTTGAGAGGGTTAGTTTCACCAACTTCAGTTCTCTTTTAGCAATATCACATTTTTCTTTGTCAAAATTATCAAAAGATTATCGCATTCAAAAGTTTAAACTTCTCTAATATATCTCATTAAGAAAGCTCTCTGGTCTTGAAACTTGCACGGACCATATATACTATTTTGTGCTTACTTAATTAGAAGAAAAATAAAGATGGTGAGATTCAAACTCGAAATCATTTATTCATCGGGACTTTGATACCATATCAAAATATCATCTTATTCAAAAGATTAAGCTATTATATGAGACTTCAAGATATAATTTATATTATTATCTAACAAATATCGCAATAACATGAGACTTCAAATGAATTTAATTTTAATTGGTGTTGAACTTAACCTCTTTCATTCTACCATTCCAACCACATGAGATTTCAAATTTTCTTTTTCTTAATTATTGTTTAAGATTTTATAGCAAATTTGATGGATAATTGAAGAAAATATGTATACATGATATGCTAGTAAAAAGTATTTGAGAGGCAACAACAGTCATGATGGAGGTTGTTGTTAATTTTTTTTAGCTTAGTATTATTTTTGTATTGTCAAGTAATTGGTAACTAGCATTGATGAAAAAAAAATGATATTTATTTTACTTTTTGAAAAATATATTTCTTTAATATTTTTTTAATTTCAATCTATCTATTCTTTTATTTTTTATTTTTTTGGATTATATTGAGATATTTCATTAACTTTGGAGATAAAATTAACATTTATACACCTTTTGTGCTATTATTTTTTGCAAAAATAGACAATAGAACAAATATGAAAGCCACAAGGTCTAAGTGAAATAAATCAAAGCTTTTAAGTGAGTTTGAAACAACACATAAATGATAAACCTACAAGAGTAAATTAATTATTTTTTTTCATATGAATAACGTCAGCTCTTGGTTCTTGCTTTTTTTTTTTTTTTTTGGATTGTTGGTCGAGGGAGTTGTATTTGTGCTTAAGGTTATTAATTTTTGTTGTATGAGAAAAATTAATTAAAGAAAGATATTAGTTGGCACATATAGAATATGGACTTTTATGCCATTTATAAATCCATAAGAAAAATGGAAGCTTATCAAAGGACAAAAAAATCGAAACTAGCGAATGCAAGCAATTCTTAAAGAATACCGTTAGTTTTTGCGCAACAACAACAACAACAATATGCTTACTAAAACAGTTGGCAGTATAGAAAATATTATATAATTAATCCCTTAAACAAAACAATTTAAAGTTGCCTCCTTAATTTGTCTAAAAGTTTAACAGGATTTATTACTCACGTGGCATCACACAAAACCCATTCATAGCATGTATCTTCCTCCTTTAGTCTACACCTTAAGAATTAGTCATCCTATTTTTGTCATTAAATCAAAGAGTAACGCTGCAAATATTTAAGTTTTTACTAAAACTATTTTCTATAAACTGTGTGGTAGTTTATGATTAGTTTTTTATTGGTTATTTCATCCTATAATTGTGATTGTATCATCAAATGAAATAATATTCGCATTACATAAATTTCCCAATCACAAATATCACAAATCAAGTAGTAAGAATTTGTTAGAAATTTATTACCCCATCATTACTCCAAATCAAATATCCAATGGCGAATGATTTAAGAGCTGGTAGGGGTACGTGTAAAAAATTCATACCTTCCTAACAGTGTAATGTTTAAGACCGCAGTTTAGGGAAATATAAGAAAACGACCCATGTTTTAGACCCACACGTTCACACCAAACTTTCAAACGATGAATAGTCGAAATTTGAGTTTTGACCATCAACAAAGCAATAACAAAGCTTCATTCGAGTTCAAATCGAAAAAGTTGCTGCCGTTAACGCCCAGGGCTTATCTCGAAAAAATCTTAACCGCTAGCGCAGCGGCATAAATCAAATTCAGAGTCTCCTCATTCTTCTCTCTTTATCTCTCCATAACTGTAAAAACTAAAATCGCTTTCTTGCCGACGGTGTCCCGTACAAAAGTACGCACTGTCGTGTTCCCTTGGGGTATACACGATACAAATAAGTCATCACCTTTAATGCTGTATAATAACAGTATACTGTCTGTTTTAACCTTTTTGTTTTTTCATGTGCTAAAATCTTGTTAACTACCCACATATTGCTTTGAAATTACTTCTTTTTCCTTTTGTTTTATCCACTCCTTCCTATTAAAGATAATGATGCCATATCTTTCAACCTTTCCTTGTCACTGAGTGATACTCACTCCTACCATTCTCTCATCCTCCGCTTTCCTTCTATTTAGTTCTCATTCCAAACTAATCAGTGTTCTTTTCCTTTGTTGGGCTCATTATTTTTTTGCGTAGAAAAGCATTTCATTACTGAGTTTGTGCATCAATGGCGTGGAGGAATATGTTGTCATATTTTTCTTTCCTGAATCTCCGGGGTATCTTTCAGGTTAGTTGGATATTATGCGTCTTTTTTTTTCCTTCCTTTTTTATGTTCAAGTTATAATTATGTCATCACCATTGGAGGACTTCAATTTTGGAGGCAAATTTGTCAAGATAAATAAACAATATTTAATTATGTTTGAAAAGATATCATGTAGGCCTCTGAAGTTGTGATGAAGGTTTTTGGTTTCTGGGGGTTACATGTTGAATGGACCTCAGTTGTCCATGAATTCTGTTTCTGGGGTTTGGTTGAGGAACAAGTTTTGAAACTCTATTTATGGGACATACGCTTGAGTCTTGGGTTATCTTTTTTCACCAGAATTGTCTGTTGGTAAAGATGTTCTTTTAATGCTTCAATTGTTTGCAAGTTTTAATCAACTTTTCAAACGATACCAAACAAAACTGAAACCATTTAGTTGATATTACTGGCGTGTAAGAAATGACAGCTTTATAGAAAATTATGACATCCTGGGATTCTCCGCGGATTTTGAATGAGAAATTAAATTTTGTTTTTTCAAAAAAACCACAACCACAAAAAGGGAAGATGATAACACGTGATGAAATGGGGTGAAGTCAGTTTGTGTACTCCTTAACTTTGCCGGTCTGAGTTAGGTTTTTTTTTTTTGGCGTTTTGATGTTTCTTTATTTTCAATAACAGGGCAGAGGAAGGCAGGCGGAGATGCGTTCACACACTATCAAATCTCATGGAGCCAAAGTTGCAAAGTATCACATGCACGATTGGCTTATTTTACTGCTACTCGTGGTGATTGAGGTCATTCTCTATTTAATCCATCCATTTTACCGATTCGTGGGAAAGGATATGATGACAGACCTGAAGTATCCTTTAAAAGGGAACACAGTGCCTGTATGGGCTGTGCCTGTAAGTTCTCTTCAGCATTAATTTATCAAGTTGTTTGTTATTTGGATGGGGTTTAACTTATCAGAAAGTGTGTATTAAGCATTGATTGAACATCCCAAACCAAATTAAGATTGGACAATAGTTCATTAGTTTCTGTTTGTCTTTCTTTGTCTTGTTGAGAACGAGCATATAATTCATCCATCAGGGTCTTTACTGTTTTGTATTCAGTTGTATGCAGTGTTGTTGCCCATTGCTGTTTTCCTTTTTGTCTATATACGAAGGAAAGATGTCTATGACCTGCATCACAGCATCTTAGGTAATTTCATTTGAACTATTCTTTTTGTGTTTGACCAGTATTTTTTTTGTTTCTTTCATGTTTGTTTCATTGCAAGTGGAATATTAATGAACATATTTTTTGAATTAAGAGCAGGCCTCTTATTTTCTGTGCTGATTACTGCGGTCCTGACGGATGCAATAAAAGATGCAGTTGGCCGGCCCCGACCAGACTTCTTCTGGCGTTGCTTTCCTGATGGGAAGGAAGTATGCCTCTGTTTCCCCTCTCTTGAACTCTTTGGCGCCATTTTTTAATATAGAAAATTTCGGTTTTTTTTAATTAATATGTTTAATTATCTTTCTTATAAAAGCTTCACTTCCTGGCAATTTTCTCTTTTTTAAGCAATAACTTGACAGCAGTTCAGATGTTTTCGACCATTAAGCTTTGCTTAATTTTATCTTCCTTGCATTTTAGTTACAAGCTTTTTCCTTGAAGTTATTATGTCCCCAGCTACTTGCTACATCTGATATTCACCCTTGAATATTAATTGTTTGCGTCATGTTTACTTGTTCCAATTCTTCATTTTTTTATTTTTTATTTTTTGCCTTGTTCAGCTCTATGATCGGTGGGGAAACGTAATATGTCATGGTTATGAAAGTGACATTAAGGAAGGACATAAGAGTTTCCCAAGTGGTCATACTTCATGTAAGCTACTGTTCCAGCTATATCCTGCAATGTTTTTTCTGTCTTGTTTTGGTCCATTTGTGGTATGATTTGTACCGTGAGGTGATATATAAGGATAAAATTGTTTTTCAATCAATACGATCATGAAGGAACTATGAATTTGGATAATTTTCAAAGAAAAACAACCAACTCAATTGTGCAAAATACTTGAGAAACAAAGTGCTTTCAAATTCCTGGCAAATAAGGGCTAGGTTACTTTTCAGGCACATAACAGTTGTTATCATTTCATAGCAGCATTCCAACGAAGAAGATATTTGACTGTCATGTGAAACTCATCAATTCAACTGATAAAACTAGTGCTGCAATGCAGGGTCCTTTGCTGGATTAGGTTTTCTATCATTGTACTTATCTGGAAAAATAAAAGCATTTGATCGGAAAGGGCATGTGGCAAAACTATGCATTGTTTTTCTTCCTTTACTTGCTGCATCTCTTGTCGCCGTCTCTCGAGTTGATGATTACTGGCATCATTGGCAAGATGTGTTTGCTGGAGGCCTAATAGGTCTGTTTTCTGTGACCACTGACTGATAGAGAAAGCTAGATAAATTTCCATTTCAAAATTTGAATTTAGTAGCTTTCATATGGTAGCAGGGCTGGTTGTGGCAGCATTCTGCTATGCACAGTTTTTCGCTCCCCCATATAATGATGAAGGTAAGATTTCTATTGCCTTTATTTCCCTAGCTCATTTATTACTCTTGCTATGTGCTTCATGTTTCTAGACTTCTGAATAAGATGTTGCGTCCCTGTTGCATTTTATCTTAAAAATGCCAATAGTATCTTTCTATAAACATCTTGTCACATGCGCAGTACATCTTTTTGGAGCTACTGCTCATTACTTCATTAGATGTAATAGAATTTCGTTCTATCTCAAGCAGTGCAGGATCTTCCTGTTTATGGATTTTTTCACGACAAAATCTTTCAGAATGAGAGTGACTCTGTTTGCACTTTCGTTTCTTTAATGGAAGCGGTGAATTGTTCTAAGCTGTTCCTACACGTTTTATTGACTTCAGGATGGGGACCTTATGCATATTTCCGAGCTTTGGAGGAGTCACGTTCCAATTCAAATGCAGGGCAGGCTATGAATGCACTTAACGTGCAGCCCGTGAATGCACAAGTTATGAGTCAACGAGGGAGGCGAAATGGAGACGATTTTGCGTCATTGGAAGAATTGGAATCCGGAAGGATGTGAATATGCACGTTTAGCTTGTGATCTACTTTTTTCCCTATTTTGTGAATGTGTGTACTTTTTATGTGTTTTTTTTTTTTTTTTGGGTAAATAGAATGTAGAATGATGATTAATTATTGTAGTTAAATGTATAAATGAGTGGGGATGATTTGTCGATACCCTCACCCTGCACACCATGGGTGTGATGATCTAAAGATGAAAGACTCCAGGAGCATCCTTTGTGAACAAACCCCCAACTCTTTTTTAGTTGCAGTCAAATATTTTCGAATTAGTTTGTGTTGAGATTAACTTCTTTTTTTTTTTGTTGGGAATATGTTTTTTTTTTATGTTGATCTTAAATTCTGACTTCAAAACGTCGAGAAAATGGAGCAAACTTGATTGATTATCATAATTTTTTTTTAAAAAAAATGAAGTAGAAATACAATGCCTAGAGAACAAACTGCGCCTACGCTCTGGAGGGTCTTAAAAGATATTTTTTTAGGCACCTTATCCCGATGAATCCCACCGGCATAGGCGCACGCATGGAGGCAATAAACGTAAAAATAGCAGCCGAGAGGCAAGGTTGAAGATGCATAGACAAAGACAACAAGATCTTATTGTGGAGGAAGTCAAGAAATGTTTCACCGGAAAGACCAGAATGAATAAGGTAGTTGTAGTCTCTTTTTGAGTCTTTGGAATAACTTATTCTAGTTTCGTGTTTCGAAAAAAATAAATACTGTAGTTATCACCCCATGAGGTTTGACCAAAACCTATTTAACCAGGCAGATCACATCAATCGTAATCCAGTTAGATGATAAAAATGCCAAGGGATGATTGTCATATTGTTATTTTAGGCCAACTGCCCAAGTTTGATGAGCTGAGCCTGCTGTCCTTGTTCGTTGGCTGATGTAATTAAACCTCAACCAATTGTCTATCGACATATTGAAATGAATATTCGAAGTTCCAATCAGTTATCGGTTGTTAGGATAATTCTCCCTTGCATGTGACCCTATTGCAAATATACCATTGAAGCCCGGTCAGTCACAACTTGATTTTTTATCTAAAAAATTCAAATGATCCTATACAACTGCTTCTCGTCCGACAAAACCCAACATTATCATGTCTATGCCGTGTGGGAAACGAACTGAAGAAATCTGATTTCGTGAACAAGAGTTTTTCATTATCTGGGGTTCTATCATCGATCTGACATGTTTAATTGGTCATTGACCTCAGAACTGAAGAGAAAGTACTTAACTAGAATGAGAAAGTACAGTACCTTGCAAGTATCATATTTGAGGAACAAATCTTCGTACTCAATTGATTTTTAAAAGCAAAGACTCCTAATGTTGCCCTTTTTAGCTGCAGTATACGTCATCCTCATGTCACATTGAAGAAAAATATAGCGTAACTGAATGCCATGGAGCTCTTATTTGGTGAAGTGTATATTTATAGTTCAACTTTTCTGGAGTCACTCTTTGTTTATTTATTTACTTATTTTTCTAACCCATAAATGCCATGCTTCCACCATCTTTTTCATCACGGTAGTGGGAAAAGAGAATAGTCTTTCATGTCATGGACAAGCAAAGAATATAAGGATAAAGGGTGGGTTGACAAATTATCAGAGCTGTACAGCCAATTTGTTAAAAAAAATTAAAAAAAGAACAGCATTAGGCATGATCCTGATCGAGCATAAAAGGGAAGCTCCAGTTGTAAAGTATACGTGTATACTTTTTGAAAATTAATTTAAAATCGCTAATAATTAATATTTGTTAAATTGTAGAGATTGGTATAAATAGAATTTGTAGTATAACGCGTTATATAAATCCAGCATTATGATTTTTCTAACCAGTTAGCAAGCGAAAATCAAGTAGTCAACGTTTTTTGTACAAGCTCGAAGGCAAAGTTTTTGAAAGGTTTACAAAATATTAAGTCAAATGTATAAGATTATTAGATTTTTTTCCTTATAATCTTAGTTATTCATAATATAAATAAATACAATATCATTTATATTTTTAATCATCATTTAACAAAATCTAATAAGAAATTCTTGTATAGCCACGAGGAAGCCACTCTCATCTTTATTATTTTATTTTTTCGTTTGATTCGATTCCTAACAACTTTTCACATTAATTGCAAATTAATTTGCATTTTAAAAAAAAGACCACTTTTTATGTTTTGAAGAGTTCAATTTTGCATTCTTTCTGGTAAATAACCTGCGAGCTACCATAAACCAAACAAATGTGATTTACCGAGAAGCATACGTGCCTATATAAAAATAAATTTTTTTTTAAAAAAATCAATCACGGAACATATGATAAGTAGGGAGCCTCTCTCTACCAGTTATTTATTAAGATTGAAATTTTATTATATGAAAAAAGTTATTTGATACATAAGTTAAAATTTATTTATATGTGGTTTTTATACTTGTAACAAAAAAGTATATATATATAAAAAATAAATCCTACCGCTTGATAAGAAGGACAAATACACTGTTTTGGTTTTATTGAGATTTAACAAAAATAAATAAATAAATAAATAAATTACTTTCGCTACACGACTTGGAAATATCGGTGATGCGTGGAGAAAACATTCTTAATCACTCGAATTAATCATCACCGCTTGCAATGGTGACAAAGACAGTTGGTTCAATGCCTGACATTGACCTCTTCGAATGATCGCTTGTGAAGGCGTTTTATGAATATCGAAAATCACAATGAAACTCAAACTTCCGGTTGCTCGTTAATTTCTATGTTTGATCCATCAATCCCATCGCTTCCAAAGCACCTGTGGCTATTAGAAGATTAAAAATCATGTTTTCTCAATGTTTAGAGCATAAGAAATCATATGTCCTGAAGTTTACGGTTTAAAATAAATCCAAAAGAAATGATTGAGATTCAAACTGTTTTCTCTTTTCTGTTTAAAAAAAAAATCAGAGTTCTTTTTTTTTTACTAAGGTTTTTTAGAAAAATAAAATAACGGATACGCAGATACAAAATGATTTCAATGAAATTTACAAGCACGCGGAGAAGACTAAAAGGAGATGTGTTTGAGAAAGTTGATGAGACACGAAAATAAAAAACGAGACAGAAAAGATGATTAAAGAAAAATAATCATTGAGTTTAAGTAGAAATATTTTTATTATTTTTGATATATTTAGATGTTATTATTATTATTTCTTTTTTTGTATTTGTATTTTTTTTAAAGTAGGTACATATGTAATTTTTTTTATTAATTACTTCTTAAATGGTATAAAAATTTTCAATTGTGAAATTGTTAGAAAATGAAATGCTGGCTGATGATTTTAAGGTAAGAAATCCAAAATAAAGCATTCTTTTGAAACCTAATTTGTTGCAACTATCATAAGTAGAAGAAAAGTCGCTGGGATTAAACTTTACCCGAAAGCATTTATCTTGTGCCTTTCTAATTCCTTGTTGATTTCAGGATTAGATTCTTTTTATGTTCGTTCCTTTCCTTTTTTCCAGCTTTTTTTCCTCCTTTTGTTACGATTTGTATAAAGGGAAAGTAATCACGTCATTTATTGTATGAGAATGCACCCAAAACACGCAATTTAATGCACAATCCGTGGGCATACCCCACATTTGTCACCCACTTACAGGACCAAAATCAATTGGATAGTTGAGCCTGGCTGAGGAGTGGGTGAAATGGAAGAGACCCGGACCGTTTATAATTATACATAGAAAATCAAGCCGTTAACGGTAGCAAATCGCGAGAAAAGAAATATGAAAATAATAGATCTATTTAAATAACTTTTATTGAAAATCAGAAATAATTTTAACTTGGTTGATGCAGATGTGCTTCGTATTAATAAACGAAATGAAGGCAGATGAAGCCATTGTTTCTTTGTATAAGTCTTAAATGTTTTTTTTTTCTTTGATAATGGGAAGCGTTAACCAACGGAAAATTGGAGGTTTGAAACTCTATCGTAAAGGCCAAAATGTTATTTCAACATTTTTAAACAAAAGGGCGAAGCCAGGTGGTTTTTATTTGTAGAAGAAGAAAAAAAGGAAAAAACAAGGGTAAGTCACTGTCAATATTGATACTTCATCCAAGAAATTGATGTAATTTGGTGGAAGTTTTTTAAACAAGGAAAAGGAAAGAAAAAATAAAAAAAAACAATTAAGACTATCAACAGATGAAATTCAGATTGAATCATAATATATTTGAATTTAATTTATTTAATAAAACATATCAAATCTTATGAATTCATATTGATTTTGAAAATATCAATTCAAATTCAAAATTTTATGATATTTATCACTTAATTTTTATATAAAAATTATGCATCCTATATTTAATATATTATTTTAATACAGAATGTATTTCAACAACAACATGTATAAAAAATATATATTAAGATAATATTTTATTTATCAATTTTGTAAAACGTTAAAAATATCACATAATTCAAAAATATAAAATTAAATAATTCTAATTAAAAATTATCTAGAATTAGGTTAGAACTAGAAAATACAATAACACCAATTAAAAATAATAATAAATAGTCTTCACTTCTTCAAAATTTAAGACCATAATGCTACTAGTCAATACCAACAAAGAAAGAAAGAAAAATATTAATATTATTATATATTTGTAATAAGTTATTTAACAAAACACATCGTAACATGTTACTTTACCAATATTAGTAATATCACATAATTGAATAAGTACTAATATTACCTTTTCGTAACTTTTTCTATTAAATCTAATCTTCTTTGATTCTTTACTAACACAAGTTAATTTTTTAACATATCAAATTCTAACATCCAACTACTCGTGTCTACACCTTATATGGATAAATAAAATGATATATATATATAATTAAGGGTTTCAAGTATCGTGAAAGAATTCATGCAAAAAGAAACTTTGTTGTCTACTTTTATCACCTTTATTAGTGTTGTTTGAAATTTTAAAAACATAAACCCTAAATTTCAAGCTAATCTCAAATTTATATATATTTTTTTCATATTTAATTTTTTAATATTTTTATTATATTTATAAATAATATATATTTTTTTAATTTTGAATCGAATCAAAATAAATTTATATTTAATCTATTTATTAAATAAATTATCGGAATTTAATCATAATCGGATTCAGATCATAAATATCGTTTACTAAATTTATTTAACTACATCAAATTCTAGCTAAGATCTATTTTATTAACGACATTAAAGACAACAAAAGCTTGGTTCTACCAAAAAAGAGAGAAAAATATTAAATATAAAAATGTCCTTCACTAATTGTTTGTATCGATCTAACAAAGTTTAATCTTTCTATGTCCAAAATTTTAATTAATTGTCAAATTCTAAACGTGCCAAATGAATGGTTAACGGATTTTATTAATTAATTTGGATGAAAAATGGTGCAATCTATTGATGAAAGACAACATTGATAAAAATCTTATAATTGAGAGGTATTTTCGTAGTTAATTCAAAAAAGAAAAAACAAAAGAAAAAAAAGAAAAGCGAAAGTTAGAATTAATTAGTTTCACTTTAATTAACCTCATGAGAAAATGGTTTAGCTTCATTAATTTGGATTTATTCTGGTTGTGGGACGAGTAGTATATAAAAAACAAAAACCAAAATCCTAAATGGTGACGCGGAATTTGGCTGAACAAGGGAACCGAAAGGATTTCGGTGAACAGAAACTCTCACCGTCTATTCCCTCCACCCCACCACTGACTGTCTGTCTGTCTCTCTACCCTTATTTTCTTTCGTTTTGTCTCTTTCAAAATTACCTTTTTTTTTTTTTTTTTTTTAATCTGCCGTATTAATTAATTAATTAATTACTGTTTAAAACTGCACAAATAAAGTAAAGATTAGATTGCAGATCCGCGCATTTTCTTTTTTTTAAAAAAACTCGCCCCTTTTACTTTCTTTCTCCATCTTTCCCAGTCTCTCTCTCTCTTTCTCTATCTTCAAAATTTGAAAATTCCGATTCTCTCTCGGGTCAGTTCCATCTTCTAAATAATTTGAATTTGCAACAACTGTCTTTTATCCTACTTTCTTTTCATTTCAGTATTTGAATTTTCCGTTTAACAGAGTGGTAAAGTAAAGTTCATGCTTATAATTTCCGTGTCTGTTATTTTCAACTGTTTGGTCCCTGAGAAACCGAAGGAAAGAAAAGGAAAGGAGAGTGTATTTTGTGGCGTCTGGTTGCGGATAAATAGTTGAAGAAAAGGCAAAAGACTTAACTTGATTATATTTAGATTACTATCAGGCTTATTACTGCGGACTTCTTCTTTTTCTTTGTCTTCTTTCCTTGTATCTTCTTTTACTTTGGAATAACTCTGTGATTTTCTTTACTTTGTAAACAACCGAACGCTGTGTGTAAATAAAAAAACCTGCTTGAAGAAACACTAACTTGCTTGCTTCAGGTAAATTTGAGTTTAGCCTAAATATTGCGTGTTAATCTTCGTCATTTATGTATAATTTGAATCCATGATTTGGAGCAGAATTCAGCTATACCTGATTACGGACTTCTACTTGTTTCTGAGATGTGTTGAGCCCTTTGTGTTTTTTAGGCTAGCTGTAGCAATGTAGCTTGAGATTGCTTTACTGGGATTTGGTGCTACGACACTAATCTCAAAATGTTAGGATTTTGGTTCATTGTAGGCCTTCAGATCGCTTTGTTTTTTATGGTATGCATATCTTTTTATTTTGTACTGTACGAGATGTGCTTCTAGTGACTATATCGTTGACTCATGTTGATTATATCATGCTATGATTAGTGATTTCTTTCATTATCTGCGATGATAATTTGTTTCTTACAAAAATAAAATATTTTCCCATTTATTTCCCTGGGTAACGTTTACCATGTCTTCTGCAGTTTGATTTCTCTAGTGATTTTGGCGCTTGTATCCGGATTAATTTGGAAAATGCCAGAGATTCAGTTGGGTGCGCACACTGTAAGATCCCATGGAATCCAAGTTGCGAGGACACATATGCATGACTGGTTGATTCTACTGCTTCTTGTGGTGATAGAGGTCGTTTTGAACGTTATAGAACCATTTCACCGCTTTGTTGGAAAGGATATGATGACGGACCTGTCATACCCACTGAAAGACAATACTGTTCCCTTTTGGGCTGTTCCAGTATGTTTCAGCTTTAACAAATGCATCTTTGAAAAGAGTTCTTTTTTTGACGAATATATATACGTATATATTGAGATTCAATTCTACGACAATATTATTAAAAATCTCTCTTTCATAACAGATTGTTGGGATATTGCTGCCCTTAGCTATCATTCTTGTGTATTACTTCATAAAAAGGAATGTCTATGATCTGCACCATGCCATTCTGGGTAGCACGTGTTCTCTCTTTGAGATTTTTCTTTTCGAAAATCTTGAATATCTTGTTTGTGTATTACTATTCCTATTGTTAATACCAAATGGATTAATGCATATTCAGGCCTTCTGTTTTCTGTGCTTATCACTGGAGTTATAACTGATGCCATTAAAGATGCTGTTGGTCGACCTCGTCCTGACTTCTTTTGGCGTTGTTTCCCTGATGGCAAAGGGGTATGCTGTCCCAGTAATAAACTTTCTTGATATTTTTCTTAATATTCTGTTGGTCCAAAGTTTGTACAAGCAAGTTCTTGCTTTTGTTTATATTTGTACTTGGTTAGCATTCATGTGTCGCTTGTCCAGGTGTTTGATCCTGTCACGAGAGATGTTATGTGTACTGGAGTGAAAAGTGTCATCAAGGAAGGCCATAAAAGCTTCCCAAGCGGACACACTTCTTGTAAGTAGGCCGATTATTTTGAGGGCTATGATTTTCAAATATATGGAATCTACTACTAATCCTTTTTGTTCCACATTATATTTTCTTGATATTGGTGTTTTCATATGGTCTATTTGCCTCTAACTGAGAACACTTTATTCCTTATGGTGCTGTTTATTCCTATTTCTACTGCAATGTTTAAACTCCCATTCCTGAAGATGTGATGTTTTGTTTCAAATGCTACTTGCCTTTAAATATCCTAAAGGTTAAAGTTCCATTTAATTAGAGAGCTTACAATGATGCATTGTGGAATGTGCAAAAAAGCGTGGAGATATTTCTCCTATGGTCTGTTTGTTTGCCAGAAAACTGAGTGAGTTTGAAAAATAAATTCAACTAAAAAAAAGTCTGTCAAAATGAATTATTTTTCTGATGTTTGGCTCTGTTCTACAAAATAAGAAGGAAAATGTTTTATTACTCATCTATTTAAGCTCTTCAACATATTCTTTATTACTTTGTTATCGTTTTCTTTCTGGTGGTAGGAATAGTCTGTTCATCTTATATTGCTAAGCAACACTTGTTTTTTACTTCCTCAAGGCTGAAGTCCCAATAGATAAAGTAGAATCAGATAGCGTGCTCGCACACACACACACACAAGCTCTGAAAATTATCTAGTATGGCCTTAGTTATGCTGCATTGTTCTCTGCAGACAAAAATACTTTTTGTTTGCCTATTCTTTTGGGCTGTTTGGGACATAAGTGAAGAATTCCTTGTTTGCAGGATTTCACAATCCGGCATATGTGTTGCGATAGCAACTGTTTATCTGACATTTGCATTAAGGAAAAATTCTGCTAAGGGAAATTTCACCTGTTGATATGCAGGGTCCTTTGCTGGTCTTGGATTTCTGGCCTTGTACTTGTCTGGGAAAATCAGAGTTTTTGACCGCAGGGGCCATGTTGCAAAGCTTTGTATTGTTTTCCTGCCTTTGCTTGTTGCTGCTTTGATAGGAGTTTCTCGGGTTGATGACTACTGGCATCACTGGCAAGATGTATTTGCTGGGGCTCTTATAGGTCTGTTTATCTATGATTTAATTGGTATCACTTTAATTTCCGACTTGTTACGGCGAAACCCTTTTCATTTCTCTGTTACCTTTTCTTGCAGGGCTAACAGTTGGTTCATTTTGCTACCTGCAATTCTTCCCACCCCCATATGATATTGATGGTACATTATTCTTTATTCCTCCTAACAATGCTCATGTACAATCTGTTTTCATTCTCTACAACCATTTTCTTTATATATTTGGAGTTATGATTTCATCATTCAATAATTGATACTCAGCAATGCATTTCATAGACATGCTAAGAACTTGTGGTAAGGTTTATGCTTTCACTGGCAAAAAATAAAAATAAAAGACAAAAGAAGTACAGTAATAAGGTTTTTGGGTTCTTAAATGTTGGCTCTGTCCTGTACTTTTGGCAGTGGAATAGGGTCTGAAATTTGTAACAAGTACCATCTAGCTTATGAAGATTAGATTGTTAAGGTTGAGGCTTTTCTTTTTGGATGTTTCTGTGTAAGTTGAAGAAAGACATCCAGAGCCTCATATTTTAGTAAGAGACCTGAACCTTTCCTTCACCTATGTTTGGTTAAAATTTTATCTACAGTAATTAGATACGAACATAATACTATGTTGTAGCCATAATTCACTGTGCATATTTTGTGCCTTAGGTCTCCCAATAAGTCCAGTCTCTAATTTGCAGAATGTCCAAAATATTAGAGCATCGTCTGAATTCAAACCAGAAGCAGCTAGTGAATTAATTTGTCAGGAAACCGATACTTTAAAGGCTTGGATTTATAAAATCCCGAATTCCTGACTATCTGTCTTTCTAAAGTTGTTAGAAAGTCCTCTATGGCCATTCCTTTCCTTTCTGCATGTTAGAGTGGCAGCACCTGCCATGTGCTCTTTTTTTTTTTTTTTTTAAATGGATCTGGCATCTTGTTCTTGTGATCCATCACAAATTATGTGTCTGCCTGTGCACATGCCTTGTGTTATATAATAGGAAGATGGCTTCCTCTCTTATTGCAAGATTCAGCTATCACTCCACCATAGCCCCCCCACTCGGATGCTAGCGTTTCTTTCACTGAATCACTATTTGAAAAGGACACTTGCTTTCTATCTTTGAATTGATTATGAACTCATATGTGGCTCTCTTGACTTTGGATCTGGTTGTACACTTGAGACTTGCTGGTGACATCACTCATTGTTTGGACTCTTGCTGTATTTCAAGCATTCGTATACTGCCCTGCTGGGTCACAGCAAGAGGCTATTTGAATGTTCCTGCAGCATCATAAGTGCATTTAATCTATGTTGTATTAGTAGTTTAAACTATTTGGCAAGAATTTCTCATGTTCTTCTTTTTTTTTATATATAATTTTTTAATGTGGCAGGCTGGGGACCTCACGCATATTTCCGGATGTTGGCAGAGTCCGGAAATGGAGTTCAGTCATCAAATAACATCAATTGTCTCAATGTGCAGCAATCAGAACTTGAGAGCGTATATATTGATTCTCAACGCAGAACTGAAACTTCAAGAGTCAATACTCGGGACACGAGCCCAATGCTGAATGGGACAGAAATCTAGAGGAGGCACTAACTTTAGGCTTTGACTGTAAAGAAAGTAGGGATAGCAGATGTCCATACAGTGTAAGCTCAGTAGATCGTGTTCCTTTACACCAGCAGATATGCACACTTGAAGTTTTTACACGTCCATCTTCAACAATGTTTACCGTTTTCAGTTAGATTCAATGTTCAAGTATAAGAGCTTCTTATACTAGTTTGTTTGATTCTGATTTTGCTTAAATTCTCATCAACCCCCCGTTGTTTCGTTGCACTGCATCATTCAGATGTACATAGCTTGCATCATGTTCAGGAAGATAATTCCTTTTTTACTTATTTTTTTCTTTAGTCTGTTGGCATAGCATTTGTTGCGAAAAGTGGGCATTTTGTGATTCTCAAAATTATACAGGTATGAGAAATAGACACATGAAACTAAACATTGATGGTGGAAGCATACAACAGAAACTGAAATCGCCCCTGCTAATTTTTTCTAGCGAAAGAGTTTGACATGAGTTGTGTTGGGTACATGTATGAATGGTAACTATTTCATATTTAAAAAAAAAAAAAACATGTGAGGTTTATATATATAAGATGGATCTATAACCTAATAATCTAAATTTTTGAATTAAAATGATGTCATCTTTATATTCAAACTCTCATACCTGTAAACCCTAGTGACAAGTGGTATCAGAACCAATGATTAGGCTATAGTATTATTTGATACAGTAGGTATTTGTGAAACCAATTGACTAGGTTGAGTATGAATATAGTGTCAATTTACTTTAATGATTGTTGCTTTTATGATAAAAAATAAAGGGCTAGTTGGAGTCTTTAGATTAAAAGCGGATGGCTCGTGAGTGGCGTAGTAAGATGTCGTTCTAGGATTAGAAACGAAGGGTAGGCGTGGTTCTTAGACGAGCATGTTATTGTAAGAGTGGTGGTCTCTTGATTGTATTATAGTACTTGTGGCAATTGTCGCACTCTGAATTGTTAAATACTTTTGTTGAAAGAAGAGTTGTGATAGAATGAATCGTATTTACATGTGACAAAAAAATTTATTGAATATCTATACAATAAAATAAAAAGTAAAATACTTATATATAAGATAAATTCATACTTCATTAATCTAGATTTTTAGATTAAAATAATAACTATTCTTACGATGCATGTAGATCTAAACAATTTTTCAATAGAGATATTTCCAAGAAATTGTAGAATAGAGAGCGTTCAAGGCCAGTGCGAAGGACTTGGTCAGGACTACAATTTCTTGTTGGACCGGCAGTACTCCAAAGACTTTTGAATTATGACAGCAAAAGATTGAAAATATAGCTTATCAATTTATTTTTTTTGTAAGGTTTTTTTTTTTTTTTTTTTAATGTTCAGTATACTATTGGATATACATTGTGAACCAAGAGAGAAAACTATAAATTAGTCCCTCTTCTTTGAGAAATGAATTAATTAGTCCCTTTAATTTCAAAATTTAATTAATTATTTTTTTTGATTTTTTTGTTTTAAGAAATAAAAAATAAGTAAAACTATAGTAATATTGATGAGAAAAAAATATTTTATAAAATATAAAAAATAAAACTAGTCAGTGTCAATACCGATTAAAAAGAATAAATAAATAAATTTTAAAATTAGAAAAACTAATTAATTAGTTTCTCAAAATGAGAGAGACTAATTTATAATTTACTCACAAAGATTAATTCCCTTATAAATCGAATTTCACTTGTGTCATCCACATCATACCATTGCATTTTTGAGAAATTTCTTTCTTGTAGTCTCTATTCATATTTGAATTTGCAATGATAATTTAGAAATTAATTCTGTTAAACAATAATATAAAAATATATTTAGACTTCACTTTTAATTTTTTAGGTTGAAATAATTTTTGAATATAATATCAAATTTTACTAATTAAATGGTCAAAAATTGAAATCTTACCCTCATTTTTTTTTAAATTAATGTAAAAAAAAATTAAGCACAAGGTAGGGTGGATTTCAAATTGAAAAGGTTTTGTATTAGAAAATAATATAAATTATATTATTTTTTGGATCAAGAATTTTTTTTTTTTTTACTAAATCCATTTATGACATAAGCAAACACATCATTTATCAATTCTGGGATGCAATGAAGTAGAAGGCAGCCGTGTCCCCAAGAAAATTAATTAGTAGCTAAGAACTCCCTTTTCTCGGTTTCTAATTCATTTCCGTCCTTTTGGTCATTTTTTGACAATGAAGTGAAAGTTGTGAAACACAACGTCCGAAACAAAACCACAGAGGATAAACGAAAAAAAAAATAAAAAAATTGACGATGAGCTTTTGTTTTGCAGTTGCTCTTGAAACGTTTGGCTGAACCTAAACCACGGCACAGAGGCATGGACAACATTGCCGATCTCAAAGAAGAAAAAGTCAGCGGTGATAGTGAAAAGTTGCTGTCTCGTGTTATTAGGAAAGCAAATGACAATAATGGAACAAAATTTTCCTTCTCTCTTTTTTGATATTTACAAATAATGGAATGTTTATGGATCTCTTGGATGGGCATGGCTGGACAGATGTTTATTCCTAAGAGAAAAAATTAAATGAATGTTGAATTGATCTCAAGAATCACTTAATTTTTTTTTTTTTAATTCAAGGGCACACAACTTAAATGCTTTTTTTGCCCCTCCTTTAGAATCTACTGAATTCTTTAGTAACAAAACATGCAAAATCCAAGTTTCAGCACTCAAAAAAAAAAAAAAAAAAAAAAAGAGGCAGTCAATATATCTTGGTGGATTGAATGTTATCTTGTTGGTATAATAATTATGGAAATTGACTTTTCTTTTTTCCTTTGTATCTCAAAGAACATTAGACAAGTTAATTGATAGGTCCCTTTTATGATCCTCTTGAGCCGCTTGACCCGGGTTAGTCATGCCTTACTATGATTAGGATATGCAAATAAATAAACAAAGATAGAAATTAAATTCATCTACTTATTCCTTTTGCTTTTATTGGTGATCTAATCATCATATATTTTTACTATCGAGCAAAGATTTTAGGAAAAAAAGGCGCTGAATGAACTTCGGTGTCTGCATGCTACTAGCAAGCTAGGAAATTTGATGTCAAAACATCTCATAATGCGTTTGTTTTAAGCCTTATTCTACTACGATGATAAGACATTATGGGATAATGCCACACACAAATACAAAGTGAATTCTTTTCATCATTTATGTCAAAACATAAACATAATTGTTGCTTTTGTCGGACGAACCAAGCAAAATAAATCGAAAGTAGATTTTTTTTTCTTTTTCCTTTTTTGTTTTGTTTTGGTTTTTTCAATAAAAGAAAGTTTCTTGTCATTACACGAATGTGAATATAAGTATTAGCCTCTACTTAGACTACTTTAGCAATGGAATTATTAATTTGGAGTGCTGAAAAGAAAAGGAGTCTCGAGCCCCCGCAAACAATGGAATGAAAAGGTGAAGACACACCCATTAATGTAATAATTAAAAAAAAAAATTAAAGACGTCAACCGGTTTTATACTTTTATTTACTAAAACAATCTCCAATACGACCAAATTCGTAGCATATTAATTAGACCCTAAAAAGAAAGCCATTGATCAAGACAAAGCCATTGGATATTATATTGATCCTTATTTTCTCTTTTTTAAAGGGGAATATAATGGTTTTCTATATCCTTAAAATTTACCAGGTCAGAATTCTGTATTTGACCAACATGGAACATGAAGTACGCAGCTCACATAAATTGTACATCCTTGGCTGCGTTTACTTGAAAACAATAGAAAAATAGAAAGAAAGAAAGAAAATTTCAACCAACAAGCCTCTATATAAAGCTTCTCTCACATCTTACCCTTACAAATCTCTCTCTTTCCCTCTTTGTCATACAGTAGTAGGAAAAATGGAGATCATTTCAAGTGCTTCCTATGGGAACGTGAAGAGGTACTGGAGGAGGAAAGGATACCAAAGACTCAATGGTGCAAACAAAAGAAAGCTGAAAATCGCAAGGCTTGGATCTGGACGGCGTTGGAAACTACGAATAGTCCCTGCTCAGCTGCACATGAAAATTGCTTCACCAATCAAAATTTTGGCAAAGGTTCATGATGCTTATATCGATATGATGATTCGGTTGGCAACCAACATAGGCAGCTTGAACAACAAGGGTTTCTTTAGGGGGAAGAAGGTGGCTAAAGATCAACACATTTCAATGGTATCTTCTGGTGATGAAGTTGATAGTAGGCTGGTTTTGGAAATTTACAAGAGGTTGGCTGCTTCTCGTGACTTGGGTGATTTTTGAAGCAAGTTTGTGCGTCCATTTATTGTTTTAAGTTTTGTTTTCCTTACGTCCACTCGTTGCTATATACTTGTTTAATTGTATATATTGATGCCTTCAGACAAATTTCTTATGAATCACAAAGTCCGAAGTTGTTAAATTGTGCGTATGAACATTGGTTTCCTGATCTTAGCAAATTAATCCAAAATTATCTGTCATTTTAGCCTTCCTTTCTCTTGATGATCCAAAATTATCCAAAATTGTACATGTTTGCTTAATTGTATATATTGATGCCTTGAGGCAAGAATTTTTTTTTTTTAAAAAAAACAATCATGTGTTTGGAGAATTATTAGAAGAATTGAAATTACTACATTAGTTATGATAATATATAAATATATTGTCGTGACTTTACCATGTTGGAAATCTTAGGGGAAATAATATAGGCTAAAAAAAGAATTACACCAGCAAGTTATTGATCTAATGATAAATGAGCTAATCTCTAAACGAATTTCAAATCAATATATAGAGTTTGAATTTTAAAATCGTTTATTCTAAACATAATTAATTTTATTTTCAAAATGGGATGTGAAAGGTTAAACAAAACACTATGATTGTGCTGTTATTAGATATTATTTATTAAAATACCAAGTTAAAAAAATGGCACAGGAAACCTTTTTAAACTTTTTCATAATCAAACATCTATGTTTCTATGACAAAAAAGAAGCAACTCCATTTGGGGGTGAATTACAATTAGTT